TTCCTAACAGCAAGTCACCCATAAGCCCCCATTATCTAATCTCCTTCCAAACACCCCACCTATGACTCCCTAAGGCTTTAGGGAATATTTTAGATCTAAGCCATAACACCTGTGTGTTCCCTAAGATGTGAATTCTCAGACAGAGACCAGAATACTTTTATCCTTATAGTATTGACTACTGGTATGATGCCTGTCATAGTAAGTGCTCCATACAAGGGTTCAACACATGTATTAGATGTTTTGTTATGTTACTTTGTTGTTTTGTTTTGTTTCACTTTTGTGTGCACCTTAATCAGTGGTTCATCATAGTTGTGTACTGCACTGGGCAAAAAGATGTTGTCAGGGAGAGTTGTAGTCAAATACATTGCTGCAATAATTGATTTCAGAGAAGTCAGATATTCTAGCCATTTAGGGGACCCAACTCTGCAGCCAGACTTTCTAGGTTCCTATCCCATTTACTAACCATACAACTTTGGACAAGTTACTTAACCTCTCTTTCCTCATTTTCCTCAACCGTTACATGCAGGAGGTAATAATAGTACTATTATACTGATTTTTAAATGTTGTAACAAACTACACAAACTGGTTCACTTAAGCAATACATTGTCCCATAGTTCTGGAGACCAGAAATCTGAATCAAGGTATAGGCAGCATTAGTTCTTTCTAAGGGCTATGAGGGAAAGATTTATTCCAGGTCTCTCTCCATGATTTTTAGAAGGTTTCTTTTCCAGTGTCTCTTTATGTAATTTCCCTCAACCTGTGTCTGTCTGTATGTTCAATTGTTTTCTTTTTATACTTTTCTTGTTTTTATATAAATAGGATTATCCAATGACCTTATTTTAACTTGGTTCCTGCTGTAAAGACTCTACCCCAAATAAGGTCACATCCTGAGATATTGGAGGTCTAGAATATTTGGTCACAGTTAGCCCCTCATAATTCCAATTCCACCCATAACAATTATATATTAATTCAACGCATAATACATCACAAGTTACTGTGAGAATTGAGTTAACATATGTGAAGTATTTGAACAGTGGTACCTTTAAAGCACTCAAAAACATGTGGCATTATTATGCTTTGTAAAATCCTGTTATGCCAGGATGTTAAGATACCATCCTTAAAAAATAAGTCAGTAAAACTTATCCAGTTTGGGGATATGTTTGTTTAAGGCGAACAGTTGAAGTGAATGGAAGATTGTAGTCTTTGCTCACAGAATACAGCAAAACGAAAGAGAGGGAAGATTTCAACACCAATAATATAAAAGGTATAAGAAGTAACAGCAATCACTGTATTCATCATAAGCTTGAAAATAATTCAATATGAAGGGCATATTATTGCAAGACACATCATAGTTGGACTTTTTCCTTTGATTTAAGATTAGATACTGTTAATTCATTTTTAGCAAAAATTGCTACAATAAAAATTTGTAGTTGAATTTTGCAATTCTGAAATTTGATCTCTCTTAAAGTTAGGGGGTGGTTGTAAAGTCTTCTTGAATACTACAGACTTAGGAGGGGTTTTTTTGTTTTGTTTTGTTTTGTTTTTGGTACTGGGGATCGAACTTAGGACCTTGTGTTTGCCAGCAGGTGCTGTTCCACTGAGCTACATCCTTAGCCCCAGACTTAGAAATTTAAAATAAGTCTCTGAGGCCAATTGATCATTGTCTGACTCAATACATTTTTTTGCCTTTTTTTCCTCAATACATTTTTTTAAAAAGAAAGATAATACTTCATATCCAAAAACACTGAAATAAACACAGCTATCACTTTTTGTGAATAGTTTCTCAATTTGCATACATTTTAAAACTTCCAACAACTAGTTGGACCACATAGCTGGTCTATGTGGAGAAAGGTAGATGCTAAAAATGGTTCCACATGTGACACAATGGTCGGGAGGGGCTAATCCAGGGAACTATGGCTTTTTAATATAAACCTTTCTGGATAGGTTCATTTTTAACAGTGTGCATGTGTGTGAATTTAGATGCTCAGAGTGCTAAGATGGGAGTTAATAGGCAAGTGACATTCTTGGGAGAAGCCAGGGAAGGATAAAGGAAGCAGTAGCAAGATAAGATAGGGAGAGAGGCCAGGCTGATGAAGTCTGCCAGCTGTGAAGAGCGGGAAAGAAAGTGTAGATAGAAACCCGCAAACCCAGAGCGGCTGAAACAGACTTACCAAGCTGATAGGGAGTGTCTGAACAAAAGTTACCTACCAGGGCATCTTGTCAGGCACTGGAGTATCTTGGCAGCATTCAGTCACTGGCTGAGAGCAGCTCAGACAGATGTGGTTCAGTATAAACACCTGCCAGGAGGATCCAAAGATACAGCAGATGGGGTTGTCATCCACTGTGCCCCTCACAGCAGGAGCTCTTAAATGGACAACTAAAGAGCACATGTCCATGACTGCCACCATAGGCATTGATTTGATTCCAAACTTTCAGAATTTTTTAGAAAGAATAGATTCTTCTGATTGTCCAGTGTGATAGATAACCATTAAGAGAGTAGCAGTCTTTTATGAAGCCAATCACTCACCTTGATACTATATATTTTGCAATGCTTTTTTGCACAAAGGAGTTGAGTTCAGTAGGTCAAATTTATTTGGTTCATTCATATTTGAGGATTCACAGTGCACAAGTGGAGAAGCAGCGGTTTAATTTAGAAAGTGTCCATGGAGTCAGTGAATGTGTTTCTGGGAGCATAAAAGGCCTCCTGAGAACCTGTGGATTCTGATGAAACAACCCTGGGAATTACATGCAACACTGGGACATATTGAGCTCATCAGAAATCCTCTAATTCTGTAAGTCACAAGAGCAGCAAATAATAAATAATGTTCACCATACGAAGCAATTGAAATCACTGTTTAAACATTTTTTTCACAATTTGGAGACCAATAGTTATCATTAGGTTATTAGGTCCTGAAATGTATTCTATGTTTAAGGCTCTGTTAAAGAAAAAGGATACAGAGATTGGGGTGTAGTCAGTGATAGAGTGTGCTCAGCATGTGCAAGGCTCTAGGTTCAATTCCTGGCCCCCAAACCAATCAAACAAAAAAAGAATACAGAATTATGAAAACAAAATGCCCTTATCCAGCCCCTACAAGGATACCCTGTATAAAAAAGGAAAGCATGAATTGAGGGGGTGGGGCAGAGTAAAAAGAGAACCAGTCTTAACCAGTGATTAAACTTTTTTTCTATAAAATTTGTAAATAGTGTAAATATGTGAAAACAGTGCTAGAACCTGTTCATGGCTTTGGAAAGGGCCCTGACACTTACACTTCATCTATGGCTCAGTAAATCCACATTTCTTCCCTATTTGAAGGGGAGCAGCAGATAAGGGAATGTAGATTCCCTTGAGAAATTTGTGGATAATAAATGAGTTGTTGGGGCCAAGGGTGGCCATTCACATACATGTTAGCACTGAAAAATAAACAGAATATTCACAGAGAGCAGTTGCTAGTTGGGACAGATCATCATCCACATGTCTGGAACCCCGAAGCAATGGTCATGCCTTGCCAGCACCTGGCTCTAACCAGACACTCTTGCAGTCCTTCAGCACAATCAGGGCACAATTGTATCTGATTTCCCTGAAAACCTGTCACTCTGAGCAGAGCTGAATGGCCAGGGTGAGCAAGACACATTTCTGGGCTTTGTTATTAAAGAAAATGGATTTGGCACATGGCAGGCATTATGAGTGTGATGTAAGAATCAGAATCAATGAATACCAGTCTTGAATGGGCCCTTATATTACTTATCTATTGTTGCATCACAAATTACTCCAAAAATGAGCAGCTTAACACAGTAAACATTTACTATTACATAGTTTCTGCAGGTTAGGTATCTGGTGTGCTTTAGCAGAGTGGTTCAGATTCAGGGTCTCTCGTGAAATGAGGCAGCTGTCAAGTTGTTGGCAGGGCTGCAGTCATCTGAAGGCTTACACTGGAGGATCTGCTTCCAAGATGGCTCACTCAGACTGCTGTTGGCAGGAGGCCTCAGTCCCTTGTCACATGGGCCTCTCCATGTGGCTGCCTAAGTGTCCTCCCCACACAGCAGCTGGCTTCCTTCAGAAAGAATGAGGGTGTGTGTGTGTGTGTGTGTGTATGTGTGTGAGAGAGAGAGAAATCGAGAGAGAGCCACAATGTGTTATGATCTAGTCTAAGAAAAGACATAGGATCACTTTTGCCCTACTCTTTTGTCACTCAAACCAGTCCTGATACAGCATGGGAGGAGATAAATATTCAGAGGCAGGGATCAGTAACGACCCTTCAAAATCATATTCAATTCCCATGAGATCCTTAGAAACCAAGCATTTTCTGTGAAGCAAGAAATACGCAATTGTTACTCAGAGTAGTTTAAGCCTCTTCAAAAAACAAGTATTTTAATCGTATTTTATATTCTGAGTAATTAGAAATGACTCTTCTGAAAATTTAATCTATTTTATTAATATATTACATGTTATGACTGTAATGTGACTTTTGACAATGTTAATTGTTTTTCACTTCTTGGAAACTTACAGTTTTTCTCCTCTCCCTTTAGGGAAGATTGGGTAAAGATTTTTTTTAAAAAAAAAAATGAATCTTTATACTTTGGTTGTATGGCTGCCAGTTGATGTTTTTATAGGCAAAAACAAATGGACAAAACCTTCTTGTGGTTGTATTCATAGTAGTTGGATATCTAATTGATAAAAAAAAATCATCCATCTCCCCCAGCAGGTCAAATATCTTTCTAATGCTATGCATGGATTCTAACACTTGGAAAAGGAGGCTCATGAAATCAATATAGAAACTGTATTGTCAGAAAACAGCAATGAGGATGCATGGTGTGTCCACTTGCGATTTTCTTTTCTGAATGAATTTATTTAGGTTTTTAAAAAACTTTAAAAATAGCATTAAAATTAAATGCATTTTATACAAAAACTAAAATTATGTGAAATTAGAAATGTCTTGAAAATAGAGACGTAAGATTTTAGAAATATGGGACAGCTTGTCACTTCTTTGAAGGTGCTCCTCCTATTAATAATAGGAAGAGGAGGCTGATCAAATTACTTCCAAACTCCTCAAGAGTAGGTATTGTTCTGTATTCATCTTTAAATGCCTATGCCCAAGCAGAGTGCCAGGCCCAGAAAAAAGGTTATAAAACATTTGTTCAATGAATGAGGAGGGGGAAAGCAATAGATGTTTTGGGGAAATGATAGGACCATAAAGCCAGTTCTCACCATAATTCTCATTCTATCCTTCACCCAACCTCCCCACACACACATGTTCCCAACGTCCCCTGACTTCAAAGAGTCTCAGTAAGAGAATTGGCCTTGGCATCGGCAAATCACTACATTCTCTAACAGCTCGTGACTTGTCACCCAATCGCAATTAATTCCCTGTTCAAATTGATATTATAAATTCTGACCTATAATACTGAAGGAAAAACAATTTGCCCAACTTTTGGTTTTAGATATTTAATTCAACACCATCCCATAAAATTTCTCCACAGTCCTCCCTCCCTCAGTGCAAGAATTAAGCATGGATTCTGCAGTCGGATGGATTCTGTATCCTGCCCTTTTGTACAGCTGGAAAGCTACTTACAAGTTCTTTATCTTCTTTTAGTAATGGATCTTCTCCCAGGAATCTGCACTCTTGCCGTTAAACTTCCCCACAAGTTCAAAGGAGTTCTCATCTCCCTGAGATCTGCCAGTTAACTTAACTCTGCTACATGTTATTGCCTTTGATAATTTAGCTTCTCTCAGAAGAAGATTTTTCTCCATCTAGGAATAAAATAAGGTTTTATCAACTTGTCAAAGCCCTGGACTTGGCACTGTTTCCAAAGGGTGTTGAAACATTCCCAAAGGAGGAACCCTCTTGAACTAAGGGATCACTGAGGAGAAAGGAATGCAAGCAGGTCTGACAGGATCCACAGCCTTCCTCTGATTTATTGCACCTTGCTTTATATGGACTAAATATTCATTCCAGTGAGTTAAGTAAAGATGAGACACTCTCTGTAGATCCAGGATTTCACCATATGCTATTGGGTCATACTGACTAAAACTCAGGTGTGTTCATCATTGAATTAATAACCTCATTATTCACTGGGTTTCAGAATGTTTATTCCAGCATGCACTATAGGGCTCCAATATTTTTCTTTCTGGGAAGAGATTTTATTAGCCACAATTACAGTTTCTGATAAGCTATTCAAGTTTGAACCACGTGTGTTTTTAAAAGTCTGAGATCTGCATCTCCAAGCATAGAGTGGCCCAGGATAAATCAAACCCACTAAAAATATAAGGACTGTGGTTTGTCTTTTTGTTATTGTTGTTAGAAAAGTAATGCTCCCCAATTACAGAAAGAATGAAAACAACAAAAAAGAAAAATATTACAGATAATTTTAGGCTATTTTTTGGCATGCTTCCTGTGGCCTTTTTTAAAAATTAATTTTATTGGTACATTTTAGGTATACAATATAATGACATTCATCATTGGGAATTTGCACCTTTACATAATCTGTCTTGGTTCTTATTTTTTCCCCATTTCCCTGCCCTCCCTTTAACCCCTCCACCCCTCCCTATTCACAAAGACTTTGTTTCCATTTTTTTCATTTTCAAAGAGTTACTGTTTTTTTGTTTTGTTTTGTTTTTTGTTTTTTTGTTTTGGTACGGGGGATTGAACTCAAGACCTTGCAGTTGTGAGGCAGGCGGCACCACTGAGCTAAATCCCTGGCCCCTTTGACCTCTTTTTAACATAAAATTTTGAATTCTCTCTCTCTTTTTTTTTTTTCACTTAACCTACTATCACAATTTGCCCCTTGTCCACTACAAACTAAGTCTACTTTGTAACTATGGCTTTTAGAGATGATTTTAACAGGGACAGGTTTTAGTGGACAAAATTAGGCTGGGAATTTTAAAAAGAAAAGAATGAAATCTAGGTAATCATACATTTTTCATTAAATTCTTTTTCATCACCAAATATTTTTCATAAGTATTTCTGAGTATCCTTCTTCTAAGCAATACTCTATAATATATTAAATGTATTTGAGAGAAAATTCTGGACTTAAAAGTTTATTTTTTTCAACCAGCCATCAATGACAGTTTTTCATCTTTTTCCTCAAATATTAAAGAATCTAGTCACATAAAGAACTTCCAGAATTCTGAGTTTTATAGGAAGCCAAGTAATTTGAATCTGTTCACCAGGTATAAAAATGTGTTTCCAGTACCAGTACAAGGTGAGAAGGACCTTATAAGAATCTAATGAGTGACACAATGCAGATAACCCCTGACTGCAGTCCTCATTGCACTCAAAACCCAAATGCACCTCCCATCTGCTCGGCTTTAAAGTATAATAAGGAAAAATAAGATGGTGGGTTGGAAGGTTTGGAAATCAAGCAAAGATGAAAGCAGCAGTGTTGTATGTTCATATTTATTTTACATTTGATATAGTCCCATATTAGGGAAAGGGAGAAAATATGCAAGAGTATGAAGACAGTGTTTTTAATAAAACTTTGGCTGCTTTTCTGTAGAAATTGATGCGAATAATTTTATCTCTTTAGGGGTCATTTTCAAAGCAAGAGGAAGAAACAAATCAACAGGATCCCATAAGGTATTTAGAAAATGCACATTTTATATGGTTTAACTTAGCTGAGGAAAAAAATTGGGTGAAAAAGCAAGATTCCAGTCAGATCTAATTCTGCTTCATGTTATTTTTAAGAATACAGAAAGAAAGCAGAAAGGAAGGAGAGAAGAAAGGAAGGAAGGAAAGAGGGAGGGAGGAACTCAAATCTTATACCTTGTATCAGCATGTACAGTTGATTTTTCCAAAGGTACTAACATATTTCAGTATTTTTTCAATTATAATTTGATTAACTGTACACATGTTGGTTGCAAGTTTCTTTAATGGGAGAGAAGAATTATATCTATACTTTTTTGACATAATAGGGAAACAAGTCAGCGTAGAGCGCCTGCTGTCAAGCTGGGCTGTCATTTGAGCTCCCTTGGAGGACCTTCCTTGGGAAAGAGTATGTTTTACACTCCTGCCCTCAGCAATTCAGCTGTGCTTCATTCCAATATGCATTTTTGCCTCATGTGTCATAATAACCAGCAAACTTTGCCCCCTGGAGAGGCACATGTGGAAGATCAGTCAGAGAACGTATTTGAACCACATCCCCTTCCAGGAAGGCTGTAAGGCAAGCTGTTATAGAAATGGAATCAGGGCACATCTAAACCATTCTAGGTTTTCTCCTGAAGGCAGGATGCAGATCAAGCTTTCTGCAAGGGTCACTGAAGTTTGCAAAACTTTCTTTGTCCCTGGCTGATTGAAGGATCTAGAGCCAGCTCACAGCTTGGATTGAAAATCATATGCAACTTATTTGTGCCATTTTTTAATTTTTTCTCTTTAACTCCTAGTCAGATATAGAATAGAGATTACATCCAAGTCAGGAGTTGGTTTACAAGCATACTGGAACTAGAACTCAATATAGGGTGAGAATCCAGGTGAACCGAAGTAAACATGAACTCTTTATGAACCAAAGCACTGCAGAATACCCCTTTTCAAAGCTTGCAGGCTGCTAAGAAGCTCCCATAAATCCCAGCTGCTTTGAAAGGATTTGCTCCAAGCCTTCTACCAGTAGCTTGTGTCTACATGCATCAGATTCAGCTGTCTCTTAAGTCTGTGAAGTGTTATCTACCTGACTATGCACACACTAACTATTGTCCAGACCATATTCAATCCAGGTGCCACTTTGTCATTTCCTGGTTTCCTTTCTATAATAAGTATGGATATTTTGCAACCAGGCAAATAAAAGACCAATATCCCAAGCATCTACTGTTTTTGCCCTCCTCCTCTGGGATTGAACCCAGGGTCTCATACATGCTAGGTAAGTGCTCTGCCATTGAGCTACAGGCTCAGCCCTTTTTACTTTGAGATGGAGTCTTGCTAAGTTGTCAAAGCTGGCCTTGAACTTGTGATCCTCCTGCCTCAGCCTCTTCAGTAGCTGGCATTATAGGCATTGTCTTAGTTACTTTTCTCATTGCTGAGACAAAATACCTGACACCCAAAGATAAAAGAGGAAAGGTTTATTTAGCTCCCAGTTTGTAGAGGTTTCAGTGCATAATAGGCTGGAACAATTCATGGTGGACTGAAGGTTGCAAAGCAACAAGAGACTCTTAACAAGTGTCTTTCTGCCCCTTTTTTCTTATCCAGACTACCAGGGATTAGGGCAGCGTCAAACCAATCAGTGTACTGGTTTAGTAATCACACATCCTTAATCCCAGCACCACACACTCTAGATTCAGCCACCTCTGAAAAAGCCACTTATGACTACATATGGCTTTGGGAGGACCAGAGGGCATCTAGACCCAAACCGTAAGAAGCATGTACCACCATGCTTGGCTATCTGAAATTTTCAACACCCCATGATGTGCACTGTATCGTGATTACAAGAAAACCCACCTCGGGCATGGCTGGGGTGACACACAGTTCTCAGTGGACCGGCTTGATCTCCATACCTTCCTCTCTCACAAAAGCAAATTAGGATGCAAGTGACAGTGATTGTTACAGGAATAAGCTTTATATATTTTTACAAATAATTTGCAAACAGTGGCACTTCACTATTATAACAACAATTTACTTTTGATAGTTAATCAGACACATTGATATTTCAACTCTGATCCATTCAAACACCACCACTCCTGTAAGTAACTCCATGAGGGTGGTTATCAATTATATTGTGGAAAATGGTTTCCACATCTATTGCCTCCTCAGGAATAATACCCAACTCTTGGTCATCACTTTATACAAATCAGTGCCAAAGCCACTTCAGCAATACAAAAAGCAGTTATAAAAATCAAGGAAAAGGCACATTCATACCTAGAATATCTAGAACAATCCCAAAGAAACTGCTAAGACTCGTCGTTCCTAAGCAGAGAAACTGGGGGACTGAAGTGAGAAACTTGCTCTTCACTGTTCATTTTTTAATTGATTGAACTTTCTACCTAATATTTTGTATTTAAAGGAGAACATTAAAATAGGTAATAGGTGAACAAATAAATAGGTAAATAAAGGAGTATAAGAGTCAACACCCAAATATTTTTAGCTGTATGAATTTAAGAGTAATGGAAGTTCCTGGGCCCTAAGTTTCGAATCCTCCTCATGACTCATGTCAAGTTGTGTGTCAGGGCAAGAGAGCACTGACACTCAGACCAACTCTGTGTCCAGGCATTTTTGGCTGAGAAAAAGATAAAGAGCTGTCACAGTGGGAAGATTTTATTGGTCCAGTTTTGATTCATTCAGCAGACATGAAAAAACTTTTTCTCAATATTAGATGTTGAAGCTTGTCTGTAAAGAACAGCTATAGTTACTTTTTAAAGATAAAACTCAATCCAAGATCAAGAAAAGTAGTTACTGTTTAGGAAAAAAAATCTATTTATTTCCAGAGAGGCAGTTTAATGAAGTGAATCTAAGAGCACTAGGTTGGGAGTTCGACAGAACTTTCTAACTGCCCTGAGCCTCAAAGTCAACAATTTCATATAAACTGGCTACAGTGGAACCTACCTGATAAGGCTGCCATTAGGCTGAAATTAATACATGTACATAAAATCTGGGGGGAGGAAGTGAAAAGAGGTTGAATAATGAAGAGGTCGAACAACTAAGTTACAAAAGTAAGAAGTTCTGCTGTCCCATGGCACAGTAGGGTGACTATAGATAAAAATAATGTACAATACATTTCAAAAAGCTAAAAGAAGTGCCCATCAACTGGAAACTGGATAAAGAAAATGTG